AATAGTTGTATAGGTAGAGTTTCCTCAAAGAATGAAATGAGCAAGATGGGACATTATTATTTTTAATACTGCAGATTAGTCACTTTTTATGCTATGGGACTGATTTTTCGTTCTAAAAAGAATGTGACCCTGGAAAGAATTTTGTAACCAAACACTAAGTTATTCATTCTTGTCTATTCATATTTAAAATGAAAAAGAATTAAGAGAATGATGCCCAAAGCAATAAACTAAACATGGCTTAAATGGCTGGAATCAGAATGGACATTTGGATTCCAATTCTAGGCCTTTATTCCCAGGCTAATTCATTATAAAAGCAAAAAAGTAATAAATCATTCAGTTATTGGTTTTTTTCTATCAAACGCCAAACGACACTCGGAGGCCTGGACGGTTAATTGAAAGGAAGAAGAAATAAAATCAGAGGGCCACGTATGTATGTATGTATGGGAAAGAGAGAGAAAGGACCAAAAAGACGAAGAAGAGAAGAGGGAATATAAGAAAGAAAAGGAAGGGCGTTATCGGGGCGTTTAATGAAGGAGAGGAGCCAACGTGACGTGACCTGCACGCAGCCATTGATTGGGGCCCAGCGCGGATTGCTAGGTCGGTGTTTGCGCGTCCCGACTTTTAACCTCCATCGATCCAGTTGTCCCCCCCCCCCTTTTATCTTTAATCCATTTAAACCCTAATAATTAATTAGAAAATTCGAATATAACATTTTACAGAAAGTTTGCAAGTTGCAGCCACGTTTCCCAATCAACTGGATGCAATGTTTTAAAGATCGACACGAATGCCAAATCATTCTTGCCTTCGGGTTCCGAGTCACCGGTTCGACCGATTAAGCCGAACGGTACAGACCATATATCAGCATTCAGCACATATATGTACTAAATATATACATATAATAAATAATGTACAAATTAATTTTAGATATTTTATATTTAATTTATGTTTTTAATTTTTATTTATAAAAAATATTTAAAATTATAATTTGAGGCCAAAAAAATGTTTTTTCATAAAAATAGCGAGGCAAGACATATAGGCGCCTTGGTATGCATAGATCTTGAGAAATTACCTAAAATAAAAAAAAAAAAACTCAATCAGATATTGGAATGCAAAGTTATGACCTCCAAAAAATTTTTGTGTATCAAATGTGCAACCCGCAACTCGATACCATCTAACAGGTCTTGACTGAATCAGACCCAAAATCCTAACTGAATGACGGCTCGAACGATTCAACCAACTTCAACTGCGGGTTAAAAACATTGGCTGAATTTATCCAACAAAAACAAGAAAGAGAAACATCAATTGTTGGATGGGCCCAAAATTTGATACTTAACACAACCGAATCCCGAACACATCTTACATCTTTTTTTAATGTATGGCAATTATTCGGGCCCCGAATGGGGCGGTTTAATGGTATTAATATATTATAATTACCTTATGTTTAATATTTATTTCTGAAATACTCGAGTATATACGGTGACCTAGGGTTTTCACAATCCTATTTTGCCAAAATTCCCAAAACTCTTCTTTGATATTTACATTTAAATGGTAGAATTTTATGTATTTTTATATGGTTCTTCTCCTTGGAAAAAACATTGAAGATTCTGGATGAGGGTTGAATTCCTGCTCCGCCAGGGTGCCCTGCCCCATACCCACCCAGTGTCTATATTTGATGGGTCATGAGACTCGTATGTGTGTATGCGCATGCGTGTTGTATAAGAATTAAGGATTTTACCTTTGTTTTTTTATTGAGAAAACACTTGGATCAGACCAGATAAGGACCGGACCGGAAAAACCAGGAACTGGCCGGTTCCATTTTTCCCAAAAATCGGATTTCTTCCCAAAATCGTTGATTTTGGTCAGCGAACTGTTGAACCAGGCAGTTAACCTTTGAACGGTTTTGACCGTTTTTTATTTTTTTGTCAGAACAGTCCGAGCGTTCGATTCGAATGATCGGACCATTCGACCCAGTAACCAGATCCCTGACCAGCTCAGTCACCGGGTTGGTTTTAAAAACCATGAGGTGCACTATGCTGTATAACCCGGACCTAATAATACCAACCGCATCAAGACTATTTTTCTTGTGTTTTGCCAATAAAATAGGCCATAGAAAAAGTAAGTCAATTACACTGAGAATTAGGTCGCGAAGAAGAATTAAATAAAACTCAAAACAAAATTAAACCAGAATTTGTATTCTCCCATGCATTTGTACTAGTATAGATAAATTTGCACTACAGCCAAACAAACATAGCCTAAACAATAATTGTTTACCATGAAAGTTGCAGGAAAAGGATAGAATTTAAATATGGAGAAAAGAACGATAGCAGAATAGTATGACCAAATGAATAAATAACCGTACAAAATATACTATTTGGCTTTGGGGGAAAAGTGTAAAACAAACTTCGGAGAACATTTTTGATTGACTATGACTACGAGGAGAATACATTATTACACTGATAACAAATATATATATATTTATATTATAAAGCGGTTAGGTCCCACGTCAGCAACCCTCTCCTCTTATTCCTCCTGCTCTCCTCTCTCTTTAAACCTCTCAACCCCGCCTGATCGAGGAGGCCGGGTACTTGGAGGGGATGGAGAAAATTGCCATTCCTACCCCAAGGTTGTGTAGTTCCATAAAACAATAAGTTTTAGTCCAATTCCATGCATCGCATAGGGGCCCACTAATATATATATTGAGAATCAAATATCCCTATTTCTACCAAAATAAAAAAAAAATGCTATCAAAATCAAATTACAGGGAAATTTGTTTGTATTAGAAATCAGGACACAACTAATCGCCTCTAGTTGTTTTTTGGTATAAAGTAATTAGACAGGAACCCATACGGCCATACCCTTTCCTTTGGGATATATAGATGGAAAGACCACTTACAGGCAATAGAACATATATCGTTGCTTCAACATTTCATCATCTGATTTCACAAATTCCATAATAAACGGAACACACTAATACCTGGACGATGAGTCAATTTTGCCTCTTCAATATTCACTATTGGGGGCTAGCAGGACTCTGAAAGCTGAAACTAACAGACAAGAATTGGAATATACAATAACTCGGCCGCTAGTATCTTCTAACAGATCTGCTATACCTGAAACATCACATCAATTGATTGAATACATGGACAACTCATCGGGGTATTAGATGTCTGTCACATAGATGATGCCTACATAAATCTTTGCTGGATAAATCACACAGGAAGACAATCAACAGACACCTGCTTTTTAAGGTGGTGAGATCACTTTGACAACAAAATCAAGACTATCAAAACAGAACGTCGTCAAGTGAGAGTTAACATCTGGCTCTCTATTGAATGGTAGTCTGCTTTGAATGGCCACATACTGCATATTAGAGCCAAAGTCATTGACAAGAATCAGTTAGAAATGACATCTCTGTAACTGGCAGCTCCCCTCATGGCCTGCAGCCTGCTGTGAGCTAAGCCTTTGGGGCTTGACCAGGGGGTGGACATGAATTGAGCTATTCAAGCTCGGTTAGTGAAAAGCTCAATTCTGTTCGGTCTAAACCAAGCTTCGAGCCATATAATTTTTATTTTTTGTATGTATAATTAATAAGTTTTTATATGTATATTTTTTATTTTTATAGGAAGTTTGGCTCATAGTCAAGCTCAAACTTACATGCTGTTGAGTCAAGCTGAATTTGAGCTCAAGTCCCTAGCTCAAACCCCCATAGTTTTTTGGCGAACCAAGCTCAAAAAGCCAGATATCCGACTCGACTCAGCTTGAATCCACCCCTAGACTTGACTGGCAAAACACTTATCTTCTCTTTGAAGTGCTAGGAGCCATAATGCTAAAGAAGGTAGCTGTTCTTTCAATTCTTCAAGCCTGTACTGGCAAAGCCAAGTCTCTAACTTGGGAGAGCTTTGCTGTTTTCTGAATTGAATTAGTGTTTCTTCCTGATTCTTAAAAGTTAACACACCGTAATGATAGTCTATAAATAATCTTCTCCAGTTAATCACTACAAAGGTAGAACATATAGCTCAAACATCTCATCCTCCTCCCTTTGGGACAAAATCTTCCTGTACTAGGTGCTACTCCATCTCTGAATTCACTACTACATGGTTTGGGAATTTTTAATCATTCTGAATTGCTTCCACAAAGTTAGGAGCCTAGTTCCAACTTTAAGTGGCACTCTGTCTCTAACTATTTATCTATTATGGAAATGTTTATCCATGCTTTTAAGTATATATCTCCAATGTAGCATAGACTTGTATCTTTCATCAGATAACCAATAAAGAATTTTTTGATGAATTAACCAATAAAGAATTACATAGAGGTGGAAAGAATGCCAATACAAATAATTTGTGATCCATGGTAAGTACCAACATTTATGCAAGCAATTCACAAACTATTAATAATTCGTAATATAAGTAATAAAGGCTCTTGATCCCCTCCCAGTATGCACCCCAATGCTCTGGTTACTTAGAAACCTACCCCATCCAATGAGCTTCATTGATGCAACACATTAGAGGAAACCCCTACAATAGAGAATTGCTCAAGGGGACATAATTCTCACTTCATATGAAAAGCCAAAATGATTACACAAGAACCATTACCTGTTTATCTAAACCACAGGGCCTGATACATCCCACTATAGAGAGGCCCTCTTTACTCCTTCCCTTGCTAGAATAAGCAACCACAGTGGCTGATCTAGGATCCTATCTATGAGTTACGACATTCTAAATGTTTATAGTTATGGATATCGCCCTTGCATCAATTAAATCACTAAATCCTCTGCCAATCCAGAGCTGATAATTGTGTAACATGTTCATGGATCAATCTGCTGCTTTTTTATGCATAGTGTTATTTCTTCCAGAAGCATAATTGAAGATGCTCTAGTTTTTCTTCTCTTTCTTAACATTCTAAAACTTGTAGGATTATTCTCAATCTCTGATTGTCCCACATCAAACCTCAATCTGATATCCTTCAAAATGCTCAAAAGAAATCTAATCAACCAAATGCAATTCTCAAAAGAAATCTCTCCAATCAAAGAGATGTACTCAAATTGTATATTTTATCTTGGAGGCAAACAATCCAAGCCATTCAAAAACCGCTATAGTCATGGCATATTTTCAAAGTGATAAATGCACTGTAAACCATGAAATATTGTTGAGGAAAATATCCTTAGTTGAATGATGAAAAGTGTGCAAAGAACATAGTTGATGAGAGCACTTACAATAGAGAATATGCCATAAGGAGAGAAACCATTGCTTATGAGAGATGAAAGAGAATTGGCAACTTCTCTGCACCATTCTAAAATATCTGAAACATGTAGACCCATAGAAAGTGTTGTCATTCCTAGTATGGTGGTGTTGACTGAACAAACACTTCCCCTTCATCCTCTTCTTCATCATCATCACCTGCAGCTACCCAATTACTAGGGTGATGCTGTGACCATTTGTTATCATTCATCTCAAGCCTTTCTGAAAGAGGGAAACAGAAGAAGTTACTAGAAGGAATCAATACATTCATAAGATTTTACAAATGAAAAGCAACAAAAGAAAGAAGTTACTTTGATGTTCTTCCACATTATCCATCTCCATTGGATCCCGGATTCTATATTTAATCAAGGAAACACATGCCATTCTAAAAGGCATCAGTCCTATATTTAAAGCACCAACAAATAAAACAAGCTATATAATGAAATGTGCACAAACTATATATGCATGCAACTATGCTTATATAAGCACTAGTAAGTGTGAATGAGCTTTGCACGTGGCAATTTTTGATGATGATGATGACAATAAATAATATGTTTCTAAAATTTTTCTATGATTTTTTTATATTTTTGTCTATAAAAATTATTCTTATTTGTCGCACTTATTTTTGTTTAATATGATGAATATATATTAGAGATGTGCCCAAACATTTTCTACATTTTTTGTATTTTTTATACTTCTGTGTGTTTTTGTCTTTTTTAATTTTTATTATTATTTAATTGTGACATCAAGGGTTAACACATTTGACCCAAAAGGTTGAATTGTTGACTCACCACCAAAGAGGAAAACAACTCCATTTTTGGGTTGGATTTAAATTTGTATTTTATTTCTATCATCAATAAAAACAATAATTCCTCGTCACACTTATTTTTCTTTAATATGGTTGATTAATATAAGATTCAATGAAAGTATGGGAGTTAACACCCTAAATATAAGACTTAATGAGAGGGAATTGAATGATGAAAAATGTAGTAGTTCAAATTACACTTTGTGCCGACCAAATTAAAAAATAAGGGTATTCCGATCAATGATAGGATTCAATGAATGTTAATAGGAATTAATAATACCTTAAATATAAGACTTAATGAGAGGGATTTGAATAAGAAAAGTGGTTGTTCAAGTTACATTTCTGTCCTTGCAATTAGAGGGACCAAATTCAAAATTTGGGGTATTTTAGTCAAACAAAAGTTCCACACTCACATTCACACTTTTAATAGTAGTATAGATATAGATATGTAACCATCTTCCATACCATCTCTCACCCTCCCAACCTCCTGTGAGAATTGCTCCCACTCATTAAACCACTACAACAGAAACCTTAACAAGGACATATTGAACTTTGTAGTAAATTATAGATTCAAGAGTGGAGTATACACATTGATTTGGAAAATGAGCTACCATAAGATCGGCCTTAAATTTCCTCTCTTTTTGTCTTTTGGGTGGGAGGCTAATCTCTGAGAAACTTTTTGTTCTGATTGGTTGCATGTCTATTCTATGATTGCACAACTAATCCAGATGGTTGAACCAATTCAACTTTAATGGCCTATAGGCAAGATATAGATCACCTGCAATGATCTATATGGTTTTTGCTGAGAATCCTTAGGTTGATGATGATTTTGTGAGCATGATCAACTAGCCAATCAGTAGAAAAATGTTCTGCACTAATATTCTAACACAAGAAAGATATAGAATTGTAACAGATAGAGGTATATAAACATTATCATACCAGCTCAATGAAGCGTCAGCAAAATTTATGGGATCAACTACATGAATCCTGTTTCACCATTCCACTCTATTAAATTGTTAAATAGTGAGGCATTGATGTAGGACCAGCTTAATTCTAGTCCTTAGAGAATGTTGAATGGTCTTCTTTGATTAGAAATTTATGGCTGTTGATGGTTGTAATGGATTCTTAAAGGAACAAGAAAGAAAATAGGAATAGAAAAAAGAGAGAAAATACCTGAAATCACTCATAAGGTTCCTAGAATCACTCTAGGGTATTGGAAGTAACATAAGCTGAAGAAAACTCAATAAGATTCATTGCTCTTTATGTAAAACGCCCATACATGTTTATAGACTCTAAACTCATAATAATCCTAGGAATCAAACTGTTAGACTAATAATAGTCCCAGGACTCAAACCGTTAGACTCAATAATCCTAGTAGGACTCAAATTAAGCTGTCATATCCTATTTCAATTCAAAGAAGACTTAATAACTCTAATCCTACTTATGCAATGACTGAAATTTTAAACATAAACAAACTATAAATAGACAATCAAACCCAATTGTTGGACCCTGCAGAAAAATATAAAATGGAAAAATTATCCCCAGCGTCCAAAAATACAGAAATACATAAATTTTCACAAAATTCCAATTTGACTCTTCATCTCCCGCATCAGCCATCAATTCATTTCTCAGTAGCATTACTCTTCTCAGTCCTTTAACTTTCAAGGCAACACTTCTCTTACTAGTGCGCTAGGCGTTCTATGCACATCCCCAAGACCATCCCAGCCTACTAAATGTTCTGGTTTTCCTGATTATATCACATGAGACAATTGGTGCTTCAGTGAGGAAGAATTTGGAGATTTCCAGACATCATCTTTTTGGAAGTTTAAGATGTAGAGAGGGCTTGTATCCCTGGTAGGAAGTCCAACCCAATATATCATGTTATTAAGCCATCTCATTCCTACAATGCAGGAACTTAGAGAAGGTAAACCAACTGTTCCTTTTGAACATGAACAGTTGATCTAGGATGGAATCAGTAGAAAGAATGGAGATTTTTCTGAAGTCCAATTGGCATTGGGGATTGAGAGAATGGAGCAATCCACATGGAGAAGATTCTTGAAGGCTGAAGCAAAAAATTTGCTCTTCGAGAAAACCAGAATGCAAGGTAAAATATCATTGAAGATGAGGGAGATGAAGAAAGCCATGGTAATACTGGTAGGGGCTGATGTAGTTGAATGGTTTCGAGGTTGTTTGGATGGTGCACTTACTGCCAACAGAAATGTAGAATGGAGAAGCTCGAAGGAAGGGGATAAGAGGAGGTACACAGCAGAGAAAAGAAGTAATACTAAAGGCAGGTTTCTGGCTGCATTGGAAGTGTTCGGTGAAAGCAAGAAACATTAGTTTTCTTGCCTGAAGGAAAAAAAAAAAAGGTGTAATATGGAGGGAGATTAGAAGCATCTTGCAGGAGTTTCTGAAAGTGCAGAAGGAAGAGAAGTTTCCAGAGATTTCTCCAGAAGAAGTAGAAAGATTTACTTCTAAGAAAGAAATGGGGGTCAACTTGGTAGTGAATGGCCTAGGTATCAGGAAGCTAACCTGCGGAATAGAGAAAGATGAATGGGAAAACAAATTAGTAGCTGTTGTGAACAAGAAACCAGAGGATTGGAGGAGAATAGCAGAAGACCTAATCAAAGTATTGAGACTGAAGGGTCCTGTCTTAATTATTCCTTTTGAAGATTGCAAAGCTTTGATAAACTTGCTTGAGGATGAAGTGGAAGTAAGTGCATTGAACTTCCAGTTAGCAGAAGAAACAGTCACAGTTATGAAATGGTCCCCTAGCTCAAACTCAAAGGACTTAAAGTTGATGGATGGAATTACGGTCAGAATTGTTGGACTGCCTTTCCACCTAGGGAAGAAAGAGGCGTTTGAATCCATTGCTTCGTTGTGTAAGGCCCGACTTGATGGTGTTAGTAGGAATCTGCTGAATTAAAATATATATATATATGAAAGAAAGTAGTTTCTTAAAGAGAGAAGGAAGAGAGAAGGAGAAGAGAAGTTGAAAGAAAAGAGAGCAATAATCTGGCCGCCCTCTTCACTTATTATTTATACTAAAATAATAGAACAGTACAAAGACAACTATGCCCTTATAGGGCGGCAAAACATAAAACAATATATATAACACTCAAAAAACATAATAAAATTTGGACTCATATAACTACTTTGGTCCCCACCTCCTATCTAACAACTAACATAAAACGTCTACTCAGAAAAACATCATAAAACTAATTAATCTTCAACACTCCCCCTCAAGTTGGGAGTAAATGTCACACATTCCCAACTTGCGTAGATCATGTTCAAGCTTGTTCCTTGCCACCCCTTTAGTGAGAACATCAGCCAGCCACAACTCTAAAGAGACGTAAGACAAGCAAACTTCTCCGGTTGTTACCCTTTCTCTTATAAAGTGTCTATCAACTTCAATGTGTTTTGTCCTATCATGCTGAATTGGATTGTGGGCAATATTGATTGCAGCCTGATTGTCACAGTATAACATCATAGGTTACTCTGCTTTCACCCCAATCTCACTCAAAAGAGATCTAACCCAAAGAAGTTCTGAGACACCATGAACCATGGATCTATACTCAGCCTCTGCACTTGACCTTGCCGTAACCGCTTGCTTCTTAATCTTCCAAGAGATCAAATTTCCACCTACAAAGGTACACACTCCTGATGTAGACCTCCTGTCATCTAAGCATCCTGCCTAGTCTGCATCTATATAGGATTCTAGCTTCAAATTCTCATGATTTGAGAAAAGAATGCCTCTGCCAGGGTGCTTTTTTAGATATGCAAGTATGTACTGACTCACAACACTAACAGTGTTGTGTTGTGAAAAGAATGCCTCTCAATAGCTTCCCAGTGTTGAACCCGAGATGCATGCATGTACTGACTCACAACACTGACAGCATAAGAAATATCTAATCGTGTCATACACAAATATAGCAGTCGGCCCACCATTCTTTGATATCTCCCCACATCTTTTACCAATTCACCATCCACACCATTAATTCTGTGATTTGGATCAATAGGAGTGTCTGCTGGTTTGGTCCCCAGCTTCCCAGTCTTTCGCAGTAGGTCAAGTACATACTTTCTCTGTGAAATGAAGATCTCATGCTTGGATCTTGCAACTTCAATCCCTAAGAAGTATTTGAGCTCACCAAGATCTTTGATCTCAAATTCTTGCTGCAATAATTTTTTGAGATCATCAATCCCTAAGAAGTATATGAGGGCTGCAGTTTGTTGGATTGTTTGGGAGGAGAGAAACTCACGGATCTTCTCAGAAAAGGAGAGAAGCTTGGAAGTAATATTGGAGATCATCTATATTAGGGTGATACATTGGCTGAAAACTTTGGCATTGTTTGCAATATTCTCAGTAGATGAGATGCTAAAAAACTGGAAGGAGATTGCAAAATTAGCTTCAGCTAAGAAGGCATCAAACTCTTGTTGGATTCCTCTACCTCATGGCTTTATTAAACTGAATTTTGATGGCAGCAATATGGGTAATCCAGGCAATCCAGAATAGGGGGAGCTTTAAGAGATGAACATGAGAATCTATTAGCTATGTTTTCTAGACCAATAGGGGAAGGAGATTCCTTGAGGGTTGAGATACTTGCAACTCTTGAAGGGGTACAAAGAGTCAAGGAGATGCAATTTAGTAAGCTGATCATAGAAGGAAACTGAAGTTGTGGTGAACTGGTTAAAAGAGGAAAACTCTAGGATATGGAATTACAACAATGAAAAGAGAAATTTTAAGTGGCTGACTAAGGATATTGAAATTCAGTACAAATGGGTAAAGAGAAGTGCAAACTCACTGGCAGATGGTCTAGCTAGGCAAGGGGTGAACAGAAACTCTATATTTTGGGTCGTATTGTAATTGTATTTTGGTGTTCAATGATTGTTCTAGGGAGCTAAGACTGTTTAGCCCCCTTGCTTTGTAATTTTCTTAATCTTAATTAATACATTTCACAGTTATTGATAAAAAAAAAAAACTTGCAACAGAAGATTGATTATCAATTCACCCCATTAAAGATCAAATCCTAATTTCATTAAAATAATCAAAGTAAAGAATGATTTGAGAGGGCTTTATTTGCAAGATATGAATATATGGATCAGGACCATCAGTTCTATTTCCCAATGTCAGGATACGGATCAGGACCATCAGTTCTGTTTCCCAATGCAGATCCATTCCTTGGATTGTTTATCGTATTAATTCCTTCTGTAGCACGGTGTCCATTTATATTTGGAACCCTTTCCATTTGACCCTGTCTTTTGTCAACACCACCACCACCACTTTTGCCTGCAGTTGTTATAAATCAAGCTAGTTGAAGAGCCATGTCTCAATATTAGAAGTCAAAGTTGAGTGATTGAGAAACTTACCTGAAAGTTCAGACCAAATTCTGGTGTGATCTGATGGATGCTCGGAAACAGCCACTCGTGACCTTGCTTGTGGTGCTTGGGACCCTGTTACCTGATCAGCTTGACCATGTGATGCAGTGGCTGCTGGTGGATGTTCAAACGGGTTTCCTTCATGAAGCTGTGATACAAGCATGGTAGCAAGGACTAGTGTTGCCTCAAAGTCTGAATTAGACCCATCGTCTAGACCAAATTTTGGGATCATTAGAATAGGCCTGTTCCTCCAAAATCAGTTTGTTCAGAATCAAAATCATAATCCAATCATACAATAAAATTGCATACCAAAGAAAAATAAAAAGGAAAACAGAAAGTAAAGTTATCAAATCAACGATATACTAAATATTAGTTTCCCTTTCATCAATCCAACCAGTACTCATGCAATATTGAAAGTAAAGTCACAAATGCACAGTTAAAATTTGTGATTATGGTGTTCCAGCCTATGGCAAGATAGGCCAACCAATTAGACAATCTTCGTATCCAGTGCATGCATTAGTTAGAAAGCCACTTATCAACAACAATTACTAAAACTGACAGACTGTCACAAACATATTAATCCCCCACCTTAACCAAAAATGATGATGATGGTTATGATGATAAATGAAGTTAACTACATATTACAAATATCTTACTCGCCAGCTTTCTCAAAAAACAATTGAATGTCAACTTCACAACCCTCACAGAAGGAAAGGAATGCCTGCAATTTGGATGGAAACAAAACATCAATCCCTCACGTAAATCAAAATGGAACTATTTGGATGTTGGTGGATGAGTTGGATTAGAAAAGCATTACAAAGTAAGATAAATGTTAATGATATGGTTGTGATTTGCTACAACCAAACAAATGTTAATCATGACCAATGAGTTGCAAAACATCTTCCCTGTACAAATGATTTATCACCTATGTCTAAGTTAAACAGAAATAATTAGGTTGGAGAACATGGTTTACTATGCCTTCAATTCTTTCACCCCAAATGTCACATCCACGGGATCTCCAGTGTGTACATACTGCAAGAATTCTTCACTGGGGTCTATCCATAGCTGAGTGTGTAAGGCTGTATCGTTGTCGTCTGCAGTTAAATTACAAAAGAAGCATAAGGATCCACAGAAGATAAACTGCAGAAATGAGAATACAGAAAAACCACAGAACTTAAACTAACCTTTTGTTGGATCTATATAACTTCTAAGTTCAACAGCTTTTCCTCCTATTTCACTTGCAGCATCAGGAGGTAAACAAGCAGGATCGGTTGCAATCACTGTGATCTCTTGAAGAGAAGATTGAAAATTAGCTAGCAGTCTGTTGAAATCACGAGGCCTAACTACAAAATTACTTGGAAACCGTCTCCTATCCAGAGAAAGATGTTGTATGTCAGGCTCGACATTACAATTGATCCAGTATGCTTTCCTCATGCCTGCACCATGTTTCACAAAGAGTACATTTCAGTAAACAATCTAAGTGGTTTATAGCTAATATTAACTAGACAATGATATTAGGATAAGAGTTAGGGCACACAGCTTTGTTATGACACAACAAGTATATCAAAAAACCTATTTGGTTTTATGCCAAGGAGATCAACCATAGAAGTCATCTTTTATAGAGACAATTAATAGAAAAGTTAAGAAAGAAGAAGAGATATATTCATGTGGTATTTAGTGATCTAAATAATATATGATAGAGTTCTTATAAAGATAATATGGTGGGTTTTAAAAAAATAAAACAGTATTAGATAGGTATATGGACCTAATCAAGGACATGTATGAGGGTGCAACAATCAGTGTTAGAACGCCTTTGGGAGAGATGTTATAGTTTCCAATCATGATAGGACTTCACCAAATCTCAGCACCTAGCCCCTATTTGTTTGCATTATTAATGGATGAATTGACCAAACATATTTAAGAGGAGGTCCCATGATGTGTATTGCTTGCATTAATTGACGAAACCAGAAAGGCATTAAATGCAAAATCAGAACTGTGGAAATCCTACTGAACACCGTCTCGACCCATTGCATTTTTTGCACAAAGTGACAGTTCTCAAACTCAAACCTAATAGCCCCTAAATGCCTTTGAAACAAGATGCATTAAAATAATAGGAGCAAAAATTGGGCTGCAATTAGGACTGGAGACCAAAAGATATCTAAACATGACCTCTTGCACTACCTTGATTAGATAATCCACAGCAAGGGAGAGATTTAGGAGAGTGTTGTTGCATCTAGAGTCCTGTGTGATAGCAGAATATCACTTGTGTTGAAAGGAAAATTTTATAAAACAGCTATAATGATGCGGCAATATTGTATGGAGCGAAGTGAAGGGCTGTCAAAAAACAATGTGTCCAAAAAAGACTGTTGCAAAATGTTAATGTTGAGATAGATGAGCCAAAAAAAATATAGGACCAAAAATGAACTTATTTTAATGAACCTAAGAATGGCTCCAATAGGTGATAAATAAGGAAAAGTATACTAAAATGGTTTAGTCTAAAACAAACAAGACCATCTCTAGCACCAGTAGGAAGATGTTATCTGTTGCAAGAGTAAGGGTCCAGGGGCTATCCAAAAAAGGGTATGAATTGAAGAAGTGATAAATGATCAGGGCCTGTAATTTAACAATGGATACAGCATTGAACAAAGCGGAATAGCAGAATAAGATTCATGTAGCTGACATGTAGTTCAGACAGGGCTTAGTTGAGTTAGGACGGACAACTTCCCTCTCCAAAAAAGAACAAACACATACTAGGATAAACATATCATGCAATAAGGTACTCTCCTCTCCAAATTCAAATTCATAGATTGAAGTTAGGGTGGTGTCACCCTGGTGTTCTGCTACCACCCTATAAAACATGGACACACTAGTGGTCATACCAAAATGCAAATCACCCTGGAGTTTCAATGCCCAACCAGATGCTCACACCTAGGAAATATCCTGCCCCTAGATAATCAAGATTATGCGAAAAAAAGAAGAATAAGGAAAGAAGTTTAGTACCACTGTAGCATTCTAAAGTCCACTGCACTTTTGATGCGTCAGGGTTGGGCATATTGATGCAGAGACGATCAACACTTGTAATGGGTGTCCTGAGAATAGAACAAACAGCCTAAACTCACCTAATCAGTGCAACTGGCTTACCGTATTGCCCCAGATAATTTTATCAAGCATATTATAGAATGATGTATACCTTCAAAAGCATACTGCATTGCACTTGAGCAGCAGAAATTTTATAGACATCAAAGAAGTCGGGTTTCAATGTAATTGACTGGTAGGCTGACCTGGAGGAATTGATAGTGTGGAAAGACAGCTGCAAGAGAAAAGGAAATGCACTAACGATTAATAGAAGTAAAATCCTGCCTTCTCAAATTATTTATAAATACCCTCCTTCTCTATCGCTTTATATCAGCCTGAACAGCAACCAGCAGGAAGTAAACATGAGTGAGAGATACGAATTTCAGTCGCCTTTGGGGGTCTAAACCAAATTGTCAACGCGTGTGTGTTAGAGAAGAGGGCACAAAAACAAAAATCCAAGCCCAAAACCCTAGAAGGGTGAATGGACAACTTAATCATCATTTAATGCTAATTATCAAAAAAAATCATCATTTAATGCTTAGATTTTGAAAAGAATTAGAACAAACTTTGCTTACACTTACCTAATATAATGGTGGGTTAGAGGAGGAAAAGGAGAATGATTTAACCCATTATCGATGTCATAATTGATTGCTTTGATTGAAATTCAACTAAAGAAAGCACTCCCCTTGGTGATTAACGTTGATTCCACGCGGTTAATGAAACTTGAATCGTTACATAGAAGAATATTGCAGATAAGAGCAGGACATGAGAAGGTACCTGAGAAGGAGAAGCTTGTAGTGCAAGCTCGTGACCCACCCGCGCGAGGCAGGTGACAGACCGCGTAAAAGATTTAAGAACGTTACCACTAAGGCTCAGCTCCATTTTTTTCTTGCTACTACACTTCTCACACTGCTTCTGCTTTCTTCTGTCCTGGTTCGAGGTCGGAAATTTACAACAGACTCACAGAGGGGATGACCTCTGGTTTATGCGCTTTGCGCGGGAAGGATAGCAGATGCGTTACTGCGTTACTGCGTTACTGGCAGTGCCCTCTGGTTTAGAGCTGTCAATGGGTCGAGCCGGACAGGATGTACCAGTCTTGTCTCGAACCGTTCAATAATCGGTAACACACTACAGACCCAGAACCGGAGACCGGATTCAGTCCTCACATAATTCGTCCTCACATCGTGCTCAGAAGAGGTCAACACTCCGGATTAAAAAAAAAAAAAAGAAAAAAAAAAAAAGCTCCGGATTCTCGTAACCGTTCCATTTAGGTCTAGTGCTTTTGTAAGTACCTGGGTAAGTGCATTAATATTTACCTGCATAAATTTATTTACCCATGTTATTTTGATTTTCAGATTTTTATATAAATAATAAAATAACATTTTTACCTACAAAATGCAATTATTAAAATGAATAAAATAATTCTATCATATTTTATAAAAATTTCTCCCAATTTGAAAAGATGCTTATCCACCAGGGGAAGATAGATAAGTTTTACCCTGAAAAGTTATCCATTGACCAATTTAACGAAGGAGGCCTTAAGAAATTGTTTAAAACTCAATTTTTCTTAAATTCACTGTAACTTTTCAAAATGTCTTATTTTTTAAAACACCATTAATGTTTATTTTGACAGAAATTGTCCACAAATACAATTTTTATGACCAAATTACCCCTAAATAGCGAATTAGGGAAAAAGGGTCATTTATGGTTTGGATTTATTCTCCCGATATTATCCTTCTCTCATTTTGTTAATCACCCCTGTATGCCTCTCTCGCTCCAATCTTCCAGCCGCTGCACCATCTCTCTCTGTTTCTCTTGCTCAATCCCTGCATCCCTGAAAGCTCCGCCTCGTGGCCGAGATGTACGCGAAGCTGCGGATCGAATCCTGTCTGTCGCGACCAAAGGACAAACTCGATGGGGCAGCGTCATCCTCACCAGCCGGCTCAAGTTAAAATTCAAGAAGAATAAACCCAGTGTGGCGATCACCGAAAAACCGTCAGTCAAACAAGTTGGGAACAAGCATTCTCCACTTAAAAGAGAAGCGGTTACCAGAGCGTTGCAATGAAGAGTGCGCGTCCATGGCCGATTAGTTCCCGAGTCGTGCACTTGGAAACCGGACTTGTCCTCAAGTCGTGCACTTGGAAACCGTTTCACTAACTCAGACCAAGTTTCCCAAGTGGAGTCCCATGAAGGGGTACCATGCCAATGCCATTGCACTAGGACTTCAACTACTACCCGATTGCCTTATTGCTTTGTCATGCGGTGCCTCAGAATAGCAATTAGCAAGTGGGTTGGGTTGGAGTGTACCATCTGCTGTCGATTGTGGTTATTAATGTGGGCCTGGGCTGAGCTTGAGTTCCTAAAATCTTCTTGATGAGCTAAGAGACGTGGAAGACGAGATGGAGTTTACAGTCGGTAGAGAGGTCCGGCTGGTAGGCTACTACTCCAATGCGTTTTAAGATTTGGAAAGGCCCTTAGTAATTTATGAGATCTCTGCTCCAATGCTACTCTGCCCGTAAGGCTTTAGGCGCAAGTATACAAGCTCTCCCACATCAAATTGTCGCTCGCTTCGGTGTTGATCGGCTAATATTTTCATGCAATCTCTGCAGTGGTTAAGGGGTGTTCTGTAATGTGGATGAGAAATTGGTGGATGTAAACGGGTCAGGCCGAACGGGCTTGCGCATGGACTTTAGCCCGCAGGCTTGACCTTGGGCCTAAAAGCCCAAGCCCGACTATTTTATTGGTCGGGCTTGGGATTTGTCACAAAAGCCCGGCCCCGCCCAACTTTTATATCCTCTTTAAACCCTAATAGTCCTAAATCGACTACTCACTCATCTCATTCTCACCCTTTCAGCCTCTTAGGTCTCAACTCTCAAGAACTGGCGAACTCAACACCGGCGCCACCAGTGAACTACGGTGGTGAGTTATCTCTCTCTCTCTCTCTCTCTCTCTCTCTCTCTCTCTCTATGTTCCATCTTCTCACTTCTCATTGTTCTCATTCTCACCAGTGAACATCAGCGCCACCAGTGAATTCCAACTAACTCGGGTGAACTCATTATCACCAGTGAACACCGCGCCACCAGTGAACTCAGGCGAACTCACTATGCAATCTTTAATGAAAGTGAAAAAAATCATTGTTAGGTCGGGCTTCGGGCTTTTTAAGAGGGCCAAGCTCGAGCCAAATTGTAGACTCATTGGTTGAGCCTGGCTCGAGCTCGGGCCTGAAAAAATCCTGTTAATGAGGAGTAAAAGCCCGGCCCAACCCTGCCCATGAACAGGTAGGTCTAGTGTGGACTGGTCCACACCACACCCTATGGCAGGGACCAATCTATACCACACCACAATCCACAACTATTATGAATTGTGGACAAATTGTGTGGATTGGACCAGTCCACACCCATAGTGGCATTCTGTAGGCATGGTGTGTGGACTGTCCACACCACACTTTTTAATTCCATGTATCTCATATACATTTATGAATGATCTACACCAACATTTTAAAAAACAACGCGGAAACGGAACCGTTCTGGCCATTGGTTTTTGGGTCAACAGTTTGACCATCCTGTTTGAACGGATGGTCCATTTTGACAAACAAATTTAAAAAAAAAAAAAAAACTGTTGAATTGGTTGCCAAGGTCAACGGGTTACTGACTTTTTCAACAGTTTTTGGCCAAAAACAGGGTTTGGGGTAAAACAAAACCACTTGCCTGGACAATTCCCGAGCTGAACGGTCCAACCGTCCGGATCAACAGCAGTTCGAAAACCTTGATATACATAGTTAATCATAAATATCTAATTTTGCATTTTATATGATAAATGCATCAATGAATTAATATTAACTAATAAATATTAATATTTTTATAAAAACAATAGTAAAATAATGAAAATTTTAAAAAATGTATTTTAAATATTATTTTATTGATAAAACATTAAAATTAAAAAAAAATAAAATAATTAATATTTTATTGACAAAAATATTAAAATATGAAACAGACAATAGGATTTCAGCCTTTCAGGAAAAGTGTGAAGTAGAAGATCAAAAATCAAGTGTGGATGGTCAAAACCCCTTGAATCTTCTGAGTCCATGCTGACCCCTGCTACTGAAATAATGTGTTCCAATACACTCGACTCCACTTGTGGCGAGCTTGCATTCACTCAATTTGGTGAATAACTTATGCATCCACATAGTTTCAAGAGTTAGCTTGAGGTGTGATATATAGTCCATCGTTGAGCTACTATAAACGAGAATATCATAAAAAAACACAAGAACGAATCTTCTCAAATAATCCCTAAATACTTCGTTCATGAGTGCTTTAAAAGTGGAGAGAGCGTTGCTCAATCCGAGGGGCATCACCAAGAATTCATAGTGACCCTCGTGAGTTCGAAATGCCGTATTGTGTTAATCACCTTGCTATAGTGGTATCTAGATCGTAAGTCCAATTTGGTAAATACCCAAGTTTCGTGGAACTCATCAATTAGCTCATCCACTATGGGAATGGGAAAGCGGTCGGGTATAGTTTGCCTTGTTTAAGGCTCTATAGTCAATACATAGACGCCAAGACCCATCCTTCTTCCACACCAGCATAATGGGGAGCTGAAAACGAGCTTGTGCTTGTTCTTATTATTCCTTCTCTTAACATGGTTCTGATCATTTCTTGGATTTCCTTATTGAAATTGAGGGTACTTATAGGGCTTAACATTACATTGACAGGCCCAACTCCATTGACTAGGGTTATTGCATGATCTCTGCTTCGGACAGGTTGTAAGCCCTTGGGTTCACTAAACACATTTATGTAGTGTTTTTTAACCGTGGTTGACCTGGATGGTCGGACTGTTCGGCCTGAAAACCGTTCAGGCAACCAGTTACGTTTTACCCCAAACCTGAAATCTGGTAAAAAACTATTAAAAAAGCTAATAAACCATTGACCCAGGCAGTCAAACTGTTGACCCATCAATTCATTTAACGTTTTTTGACCGTTTTTTTTTATTTTGCTGTCAGAATGGGCCATCTGTTCGAACCGAACGATCAGACCGTCAACCCAAAAACTGGTGATCAAAACAGTTCCATTTTCGAGTCGTTTTTTAAAACGTTGCATTTACGAACTGTTTTAGGAATTCTGTAATCTCAGGAATGCTGAAAAGTCATGATGACTTTTAGACAATTTCTCTTCCATTTATTAATTTATTAATGGACACAGTCTGGTCAGACCCAATTAATCATGATTATAGCTTATACCTATAATTAGGGTTTGGGTTTAAGAGAGTTAAAATAATGTGGATTAATAGACTATAAGTCATGTGTATAACAAAAGTAAAATCAAGTTCGGTTGACTCTAACCCAATCCAAATTAAAGTTAAGTTGGCACAATTCAACCCTAACATTAACCCAATTGTCAACCGATCCGACCAAACTGTCTAAACCTTTTGAAATAAACTCTTGAACAAAGTAAAATAAATTAAATTAAAGTAAACGGGTAAAATAAAAATCTATTGTCTCCATAATGAATCTGATCATCGCTTTATCTCGACATCTTACTCAATTGTATATACTTGGCCTTTGGTTGTATTTAGATTGGTTCAATTAGCTTACATTGAAAGTTGATATATAACTATATATACATGTCTATATGTATAGACATTATAAAGCAGATATTTGCTTTGATTCCATTGCATGTCATAAAAGTGAGATCCAAATAACTATTTTTTGGTATTGAAATGCATGCCTTTATGCCCTCACAAGGCTTTAATTCTATTTTTTTTTTAGTATAATACTCTTTTCAACAACAATCTAATAACTCTTCTCCAAAGGTGATGTAAACCAATAGCGGGACTTAAAACTGCACCTCTTATATGACTACCTGAGTTAGGTATCAATCAAGCTACCACTCAATTGGTAAATCCAAATACTATATATCATATATGGTTAATATTTAATAATTGTCCATATGTATAACAGGTATTCTTACACTTATACGTATTTGTATAATTAAGTTGAGTTTAGATTTAAGTAAAGTTGGGATAAGGTCATATTAGGTATGGGTTATTTAAGGAATATACTAGTAGTCTAATTGGACTAACTCCAAAAACGATAAAGAAAAGCCAAAGTTTTGATCAAGTACAGTTCAAGTTTTGAAGGCTGCGTTTATTTTCAATACAAACATAGAGCCGGTCTATTTATGTACCCCGGTTCGTTTTTGTGAGTATTTGGTTGCCATATAAAAATGTAATGATTAAGATGTCAAAAATGTTTTTTTTTTTTTTTCCTGACATCTTTGTATCGTGAAAATAGCACATTATTGTATCCATTTTTTGTATACAAACTTGCGCTATTCTGATAAATGGTGTGTTTGACCAAAAATTTAAGGTATTTAATGATGGGGCTCACATTGAATAATGCAGAAAAACGGGTTATACTTTAAATTCATGAACCGGAAAAAGAATACTTACAGAGAGTACATATTTACATTTGCATCGCAATAAGAGTATATATTTGTGTTTGCATCACAACCAAACACAACCAAAGATCCAAACCCAGCCTCTCTAAAAAAAATGGACTGGCTCGGTTGGGTCGGGCTCGGATTGAGCCCGCCAAGGTTTGGGAATTAGGGTTTGGAGGAATTTTCATTTAGTTGCAAGATATTTTCATCTTATTGTTTTGTTAAGTGGCTTCTGGTAAGTTTAATGTATCTATTTGTGAATTAATTTAATGGGAATTTCTTGTCCAATGAATTGCTTAATTATTATTTTTTTTCTTTCGGCATATTTAGAAACTTGTGCTGAATCAAACCACGATTTGTATTAGGGTTGTTGAATTACTGTATGTAGTCACTTTGAGCTCTCGGTCATAGCCTTAATCTGAGAGCTACCATATTTGTTTAAACGTTGTTTTTGCTTATAATCAAACGGATTTATATTGATACTTACTGAAGGAATTCGTTTTTTCCTCAATTGTTTCAATCTTCTTCCGCCGAGCCGCTAAAACACCCACCAAAATGCAGAACGAAGAGGGGCAAAATCCCTAGAAAATGGTATGCAACGTTTCTCATATACTTGTTGTATCTTAACACTCAAAGGTCAAAGGCCTATTTGTTCTTGCTTTATTTGGTTTCCACAGTAATTTAACGGTAATTAATTGACAGTAATTATAATTTAATAATTACATCTATTAAATACATTTCTTTTAATTACATTTATTTAATTACTTTAATGAATACAGCATTTTATTAATAAACTATATTTTAAATATTTTTACTGTTAATTAACAGGAATTTAAATAATTACAGTATTTATTAAAAACAGTAATTATATTAACAGTATTAATAATTAATGGTACTTATTTTTAAACTGTAATTAACAGTAATTATAATTTAATTAACCATGTTTTTTAATAGTTACAAATACAGTAATTTAACAGCAATTTATTTGTTTTTCAGTAATTTAACAGTAATTATAATTTGCTTTTCAATAATTATAATTACAAAACAGTAATTTAAAGTAATTATAATTTGTTTTTAAATAAATACATTTCTTTTAATTTATTTATAAGTCTTAATTGTTTCATTCTTGGTTAACAAAACCCGTGCTCACTAGTTAAATAAAACAGAGGAAAATAAAGCAAGCGGATACCATTGGCTAGCTCATGGGTGACGGAAAAGGAACCATAAAACAAGGGTAAATCTGGTATTTTAAAATGTTAATACAATATGTCAGACTTTTCTTTCAAAAAAACAAAGGAAGGGAGGTGTTTGGACCTTTCTTTTTTTTTTTCAAAAAGTCACGGGAGATTTTTTTTTTGTTACGATAGGTTTATCAGAAAACCTAAGGGAGGTCTTTATATTTTACCCAAAATTATAAGGATTCAAAATGGGCTTTCCATAGTGCTTATTAATCTATTAATGGGATTTCTATGTTTGGGAGTGCTTATTTAAAAATAAATGCTTATTTTAATAAGTGTTCATGGGCATTTGGTGAAAAAGCACTTATTTCAAATAAGGGTAATATAGTTATTTTTCAAATGTTTGGTGGGCTAAGATATGACAGAAAGAAAATAATAGTTTATTGAATAATGACTTAAAAAATAAGTCTAAAATTTGGGTTTCTTGAATAAGTATTTATTCTCAAAATAATCAGGTTTATAGTTTAATATCCCAATTTTTGAATGAGGGTGTGAAACTTTTGTTTGACAAAAATATCCCAATTTTTGGATTTGGTTACTCTCAATTATAAGGACAGCAATGTAATTTGATGCACAACAACTTTTCTCCTCATTCAAATCCCTCTCACTGAGTCATACATTTAAGTTATTAATTCCCATTTACATTCCTTGAATATAATTATTGACTAGAATATCCATATTCTTGAATTCAGTACCTCTTTAATGACACAAAATATAATTTGAGCTATTACATTTTTCTTCACTTAATTGAGTCTCATGAAGTCTTATATTTAGTTATTAATTCCCTTTCTTTTCATCAAATATTATATTATTTATCCATATTAAAAAAATAAATGTGACAAAGAATAATTGTTTTTTATGAAGATAGAAATAAAATACAAATTTAAAAATAAAAACCAACTAAAAAATGAAATTGTTTTCCTCCTTGGTGGTGAATTAACAATTCAACATTTTGGGTTAAGTGTGACAATTCTTGATGTTATAATTAAATAATAATCAAAATTTAAAAAATAAAAGCATAGAGGAGTATGAAAAATACAAATGAAAATTGTAAAAAATATTTTGACACATTTCTAACATCATTTATTCATCATGTTAAACAAAAATAAGTAGGGGTGCCAATGGACTGGTTTTGAGTTGGACTCCGTCCAAATCAAAATCCATTTGGATGGATTGGATGGACCAATAAGATATATTGAATTTGGATGGACTAGACGGACCAATATGACATATTGGATTGGACATTGTTTGTCCATAATGAATTTTTATTGGATTGAGCCAATATCTAGTCCATTGATAGAAGATAAGAACATTGGTGTCAATGGACCAGGTTTGAGTTGAAACCAATCTAAATTAACAGGAATTTGAATAGATTGGACAGTCTCTGGACCAATCCAAAATATTCATTAAACTGGATTGGACCAGGTCCATTTGTAATGGACTCACATTGGATTGGACCAAATCAAGTCCAATTGACACTCCTAAAAATAAGTGTGACAAATAAGAATAATTTTTCTGGAGATATAAATATAAAAAAAATTATATTACTTACCATCATCATAAAGAATTGCCATGCCAACAAAAACAATTGCTTATTTGTTATTTTGAGTCTATTTTGAATAAGCACTCCCAATCTTGGATTTGGTTTTAACCATCAAAATAACATTGGCATATGTTTGGTTCCGTGGGCATTTCTTGAAAGATATTTTTTTAGATAAATGTTTATCTGAAAAGCGCTACTTTAAACATTTTTTGCCTTTTTTATTTGGTTAGACATTTTATGGGTGTTTTAGGTAACACCCTATAAAGTTGCTTTCTACAAGAATGTGTTTGGAACCATGGGCCTTTATTCAATAAACGATGCCACATAGACACCACGTCAATATTTCCCCTTTCATATTTTTCCGTATGCATTGAGAATAGAAAAATGTGATTTCAGTTTCCGTGCATGCCTACCATTTTGAGATGTTAATTTTTAAAGCTTCTCCCAATTATTAAACGCTTTTTCACTATTATCATGGATGTGATGCCTAATAACACTTAATTGTCATAAACAATTACAATTATTATTTTTTTCGATTTTGCAAGCAAATAATAAAAACATTGAGTTAAAAAAATGCCAATGGAATCAAACATAAATTTGGCTTTTTTCCAAATGCCTCGTGCATGTAAATAAAAGCATTTCAGATTTTTAGTGGATAATTGATAAACTCGAGTTTCACGTGCAATGACACCAATGCTTAATGTGGCGGCGCTTTTTCAATAAACGCCCACGTAACCAAATATATATCAAATTTATATAATTTTTCTTTCAGGGAACCGACCGGCGGTCTGGCCAATCTCCAGGCTCCAGCTGAAGGACACTGAAACTGAGCGTGCTTCCGACCAATGGGTTACTCTACTTTCGTACCGTCAAAGTCTTCTTCCCAGAGAGCCGGAAGCATTGAGATTGAGGCACCATGGCGTTATGCGCGACGAAGCTCGCTTACTACGACGACATGTGGAAGCTCCAGTGCAGGGCGGCCCTCCTCTCCTCCGTAGAGGTCTCTCTTTTTCTCTTTCTCTTGCATCGAGTCCATGGTCTAATAGCATATATTTCCAATCCGAGTGATCTCATAAACCCTATTTCGATTTCTAAAGGGTGACGATGGTCGACGCGCTCTCATCTTGGATTCCACCATATTCCATCCCCAAGGGGGTGGTCAGCCATCGGATACTGGTTTTATCACTGACGCTGGTTCGAATTTTAAGTTCGTCGTGGAAGACGTTCGGTTGAAGGACGGATTGGTGAGTGGCCGTTTCTCAACTCAATCGAATTGTTCCCCCCCCCTCCTCTCTCTCTCTCTCTCTCTCCTTACTTTTATATAGTGGATTATAGTTTCCTGGTTCTTTTTCGGGTTCTTTGTTGCCTCATTTTGAGATTCATTCTATTGATAGGTTTTCCATTATGGTTCTTTTGAGAACTCTACTGGAGACTGCAGTCCCGAACTCGAGGAAGGGCGAGAAGTTTGTTTACATGTAGATGAGCCACGACGCAATCTCAATTCCAGGCATGAGTTTCTCGGGAGCTTATTCTTTGTGGCTTCTTTACTCGGTTCTATTAAACGAGTTAGCGTTTCAACATGAAATACTGCTATTTTTGGTATTATGAATTATGTGGGCCGTGTTCTTATTTTCTTGTCATTTCTCACTATGTTGAGTTTCACAAGTCTTTGTTTTAGGTGAACTCTGTTAGTCTGTTGTCTGACTTATGTTCGTCCTCACTCTGATGCGAGGATTGTTTCCTGATACTATATACTGCACAAGGTTTTAACATAGTTTCAAAAGAAAAGAGAAAACTGCTCCGCGGCCTAGCTCTGTTATTATTTGCTAAATCTGTGATTTCCTCCCTTGGGGGAATTCACTGCGTTCATATGATATATTGATTGTCTTGGCGGATGTATAATTAAATTGAGAATTCATGATAACCTTGCATTCGGATTACCTAAGCTGCTGTGCTATTTGCACAACAGACTCATGGAGGAACTTTTTCAATTGGTGATTTTCCTTCTTCACCTTTTGCCATCGCAAGGTTGTAGTTAATCAGAAACTTATCATTAACTATGCTAATCTAGGTTGACCTTTATGTTCATGATCTGTTTTCTGTTATATTCATAATTCCACAAGGAAATGAGTAAATCTAGAAGGATTAGTGTTTGTTGTGAAATGATAAGCCCAAGATCTGAAATGGTTGGCAAATAGAGAAATAGAAAGAAACGAAAAAACAGAGTAACTCGAAGCAGACACAGAAATTTAACATGTTTTGGCCTTGATGTCTACGTCCACGGGAGAAGGAGCAGAAATCCGCTATAATCAACAATGAAGTAGTGCAAGTATGAACAACCTCTCAAACCCTAGCACCCTTTATGCCCAAAACCGTCTCTCTCTCTCTCTCTCCCTCCCTCCCTCTCGATCTGTCTCTCTTGTCAAACCCAAGAAACAGGTACAATATATACAGGACACACATAAGTGCAAACTGGTCGGGTCTGTACCCCCTTTAGATTCTGCTCCATCAATGTTGTGCCAGTAATGGAGCAGGCCACAACCAAGAATCCAAGGCACAACACAATAGATCCAAAAGAACTTAGATAGTTTAGCGGAAATGAATTTTAAAGTAATGGCTACTTTTTCTTTTAATTTCTATAAGAAGTTTTGTCTAGTTGTTTATTTAATTTTAAATTATTATTGTGTTGCTGAAGCATATTACCCTACACTTGAGTTAATGAAAACAAGAACACATGAGTTACAAATATAAAATTAACCCTCTTTTTAGGTAACCATAATAATTAGCTTGTGAACTTATGTATAACTTACTTGTTTAATTCATTATCTTATTCTATGCAGGTTGCATTCAGCAGGACATTTGTTAGACATATGCATGCAAAATGTAGGTTTGGGGCATCTAGAGCCAGGGAAGGGCTATCATTTTCCTGATGGGTATTGTATCAGAACAGCAGCAAGACACAGATTTATAGCACCTAACATATTAATTTCTCTTTCTAGAATAATTATGCTGGATATTTTTTAACAATCTCAGAACAGAAATATTATCATTTGAGCTTCTTTGTTCTTTCTGTATCCTTTCTTTTTATAAAGCATACTTTATTTCTTCTATATGGATGTGAAGCTGGTTTCTCATTTTAACGTTTGTCTAGGTCACATTTTCAGGCCATTTGTTGAATATAAAGGAGCAATTCCACAGAGTGAACAGCAAGATAAACAGAAGGAACTAGAGATAGAGGCAAACTTGTTAATATCTAAAGGAGGGAAGGTGTGCATCAGAATCAGTTTTCTTATAGTATACTCACTTGCTCTCTTCATTTTTTTTTTATCAGCCTCACCTGCTCTCTTCATTGAGTGTGACAAACACTGCATTCAACTTTCAGGTTTCTGCTGCTGTTTTATCATATGAGGAAGCTTGCAAATTGTGTGGTGGATGCCTACCTGATTACATTTCCAAGGTCAGAAATGATGAATTTATCTAGGAGTAGTTAATGTTCATAGCACACAATCTGTGAATCATGAATTGCTGCTTTTGTATATTGGTATTAGATTTTAAAAGGAAGAAGGTGCAGTTCCTGTGTGGAACCATCCCATGTTTCCTAATTGCAGTCCAGATAGAGAGAGAGGGAGAGGAGACATAAAATAGGATGCGATGCTTGCGATGATGAGCTAGGTAGCTTTTCCATAGAAGTTTATCATGATGCACAGAGGAGGTTTCGCCAGAAATCTTCGAAAAGGTGGGATTTTGGGAAGCTGATAATTGGTACAAGAGGGGAGGGGTTGATGCAAGAGTAAGAAAGGAGTTTCCCTACAGCAAAGCAGCGACAGCGGGAACATGGCTGGAGTTTGGGTATTCAGACCTGATGAGAGTCAAAGGTAAATGGGTTGTTAATACAGAGGTGGTGGGAGTAGAGGCAAGAAGATGCTTCCTGTAAAACTGTTTGGTCGGAAGAATTCCAGAGGGGATGGATTTACCGCAAGTAGATATGTGGGTTAATAAGATTTGGAGAGAAGTGGGAGGGGTAAGGGTGAAAAAGTTGGTGGATGAACTCTTTCTCTTCATCTTTCCCTCGAGAGCTGAAGCGGCGCGGATCCTTAGAATTGGTTCATGGACATTTGGGAGATCTAGTGTGCTATTGGGCTAGTGGGGTGTGAGTGCTTGGTGCTTTTGTCCTGAAGCGGAAGGTGATCAGGAACCTGGTGAATCGTCCTGGATTCGTATCTTTGGTCTCCCATTGGTGCTTTGGTGTCCAAGTGTAATGAAGGCGATTGGAGATGTGTGTGGGGGGTTTATCGAAACTGATGATTCTCCTCAGGAACTAGCGACTTGTGAGTGGGTACGAATGAAAGTGAGACGTGCAGGTAGTGTTCCTGAGAAGGTGGAAATCGTTGTTGGTGAATCCATCTTCACAGTGTGGGTGTGGCATGAAAAAAATTCTGACGGTCAGAAGAAGGGTCATAGGAGAAAAGATGAGTGAAAAAATCCAGAAAGAGCAAGGGCAACATTTGGCTTTGTCAAAAAAAAAAAAAAATCTTAGAGGAGGAAGGGGAGAGTAAGGGCCTGCTCATTTGCTCTGAAGTCTGACATCTGAAAGTGCAATAATTACATTAAGAGGTATATTGGTATTGGTGAACTTTTCTTTCCTTTGAACTTTGAATGCAGAGAATGTTGTTCTAAACTTTTAATTCTGAATTCTGAAAATTATCAAATATCTTTGACCCCATATATGAGAGTTTTGTTTGTCTTTTTTGGGGGATCATTGGAAAACAAAAAAATGTATTATTGCACTTTAAGAGATAAGAGGAAACGAACAACCATTTTTCTCTTAAAGTTAAAAGATTCCTATTAAGAGATAAGAGTTAAGAGGAAACGACTAGGCCCTAACTGTTTGAAAAACAATGAGGGTAGTCCATCCATTGCCGGTCTGACAAGTTTCTCAGGGGAGGGAGGCGGGGGAGATGACGGCTAGGGTTACCGAGAGGTGAGGGTGGTGAAAAAGGAGGGAAAAGGGTGACCGTTCGATCTCTTTGTTTTTGGATGGTCAAGATGGGGGACTTAAGGGGAAGTTGATGGTAGGGTCCCAGACTCCAATTTTAAATCAAGATGCTAATCCTCTTAGTATTGAAAATTTGAAAGAGTTAGTTAAAGAGTGCCTGTTAGAGCTCCACGTGGTGCAAAATGTGGAGAGGGTGACATGTACAGGGGTGGCCCATAGTCCGGGGTATTTATCTAGTTCTCCCAAAGACCCGAATATTTTAGGATGGACCACTCAAACCCGTATAAGGTTGACCTTAACCTTAAAGACTCCAAACCTGACTCCAACACCTGCGCTTTGCTTAGACCAAATTAAAAAGGTGAGTAGTGAACCCAGACCAGAGACCCACTTTTCAAGCTCTTCCTCCCCGATTCTGGTTGGACCAAACTGGCTCAGCCAACTTGGTCATCGACCTCAGGCTGCGAAAAACCGTGTCTCCTCTTCGTCTTCTTGGGTAAACTTCAAACTCTTGGGGTTGGGAAAATTCTTGGGGGTTTCGATGGGAGGTCTGGAAGAAGAGACAATAAAATATTTAGAGGGAATTGAACAATGAGTTTTACTGGAGAGAGGAAAGCTTGTAGCTAAGAAGGGTGAAGCCACTTCAATAAAGAGCCGGGAAATCCTAAGATTAACGTGGGGGCTGAATGACAAGGCAGGAAGAGGGGTAAAAAATGCACTAGTAGGGGGTGTGTGCCATGGTTTACTCTTGTTTTGTTTTAAATGGAGTTGAATTTACTCTCTTGGAATGTTAGGGGCTTAGGATCAGGAAGGAGAAGGGTGGTGGTGTGTGATGTTCTGAAAAGGTCCAGATCTCAAATAATTCTCCCATAGGAAACTAAGTCGGAGTTGATGGATGCCACTGTAATCAGAAGTTTATGAGGGGATGGTCAGGTGAAATGGCTTTCGAAGCCAGCAGTGGGTAGTGCGGGGGAGCTGGTGATAATGTGGGATCCGATGAAGTGCAATGTCACCTCTCAGTAGATTGGAATTTTTTCAATTTCAGTAGTGGTGGATTTGGAAGGTGGAGAGAAATGCCAAATCACAAATGTGTATGGCCCAACTGACAACAATCAGAGGAGTGAGTTTTGGGAGGACTTAGCTAGGGCTAGAGGAGTGTTTGATTGCCTGTGGGCGATAGGGGGTGATTTTAATGTGACACTTTCAGCTGAAGAAAAGAACACAAGGGGAAGGAGATCCAGATCGATGAATATGTTCACTGAGTTCATTAACAGTTTTGGTCTGATAGACTTTACCTTTGGTTGGTGCCCAGTTAATTTGGACTAATAATCAGGAGACTCCTGTTCTGGTTAGGCTTGACAGATTTCTTGTGTCGTCAGGGTGGGATGACATTTTTCCAGAATTCAGACAAGTTGCTCTTGTAAGGCCTGTTTCAGGTCATTGTCCTATACAACTGATTAGTGGCCCTCAAGAAAGGAAAAAAAGGTTCCCTTTAAATTTGAAAATGCCTACTTTGAAGAAGAGGGTTTCATCCCCTTGTTAAAAGGGGCTTGAAATGAGTGTCATGTGACTGGGTTGAGCTCCCATAGACTGGCAAAAAGACTGGGGGTGATTAAAGAGAAGGCTAAAGTATGGAAGCTGGAAAACAAGTTGTCTCTGGAAACAGAAAAAAGGCTTGCTTGAGCTTAATTGAGGAAACTGATAGAGCAGAAGAGGTGGGTCCTATTTCTCAAGATCAAAGGTTGAAGGTTGGGGCTTGGAATGAGTGTCATGTGACTAGGTCGATCTCCTATAGACTGGCAAAAAGACTGGGGGTGATTAAAGAGAAGGCTAAAGTATGGAAGCTGGAAAACAGTCTCTGGAAACAGGAAAAAAAGGCTTGCTTGAGCTTAATTGAGGAAATTGATAGAGAAGAAGAGGTGGGTCCTATTTCTCAAAATCAAAGGTTGAAGAGAGATCTTGCTAAGGCAGTTTATATAAGATTGCCCACAAGGATGAGATCAGTTGGAGGCAGAGGGCCAAAATCTCCTAGCTATAGGTACAGGAACACAAGTTTTTTTTTTCCATAAAATGGCAAATGCCTGAACCAGATTCAAGGAAATCAGCAAACTGGAATGTGAAGGAAGAGTAGGAGAAACAGATGCAGAAATCAAGGTCATTGCTACAGCTTTTTATAAAAATTTATATAAAGAGCCATGGACTTTTAAACCTCTTCCTTTGAATACCCCTTTTAAGAGATTGCCAGATGAGCAGAGTTCCCTCTTAGAAAGGCCTTTCACTGAGGAGATTAAGGATGCAATAAGAAATATGGAGCCAGAGAAATCCCCCGGTCCCGATGGTTTGACCAATCTTTTCTATTTAAAATGTTGGGACTTTATCAAGCAAGACCTTCTGAGTGTGTTTCAGAACTTCCATAGTTTGGCATCCCTACAGAGAAGCCTGAATAATACCTTTATTTCTCTCATTCTTAAGATTGCTGGAGCTACAAACTTAAAAGACTTCAGGCCAAAGTTTTCAAGGCACCAAGGCGAACCTAGGCGACAAGGGAGCGCTTAGTCGCCTAGGCGTCGCTTAATGTCTAAAAGAAAAATAAAATAAAAATGGGATGAACCCCAATTTTGCTATTGAAATAGAAATATAGAAGGGCAGAGCCCCCATCTTTCTTCCAAAAAAAGAAATAGACCCCTATTTTTTGTTCCAGAAGAAGAAGAAGAGAGGAGGAGGAGGAAAGAAGAAGGGGCGGAGCCCCTGTTTTTGTTCCAAAAAAAGAAAAAGAAAAAGAAGGGGCGGAACCCCTGTTTTTTGTTCCAGCAGCAACAGAAGAAGAGGAGGAGGAGGAGGAAAGAAGGGGTGGAGCCCCTGTTTTTGTTCCAAAACAAGAAAAAGAAGAAGGGGCAGAGCCCCTATTTTTTGTTCCAAAATAAGAAGGGGGCGGAGCCCCTGTTTTTTGTTCCAAAAGAAGAAGAAGAACGAAAAGTCATACCTTCTGTGATCGATTTGCCTTTCTTCTTCAAAGACATACAGGTTGGAACTTGACGGTGATACCTCTTGAAAAGCTATACCTTCTCAGCTTCGTATATTTTATTTATCATAAACCTTAAAAAGACAAGAAATTAATAAAAAATATTATAATATGAAAGAAATAAAAATAATGATTCAGTGCATCATGTCTATATTTATATTATAGACTTAAAATATAAAAAAATATTAAATATGAAAAAATTACAACATGTTATAGATACATCAAATGGCGTTTGGGTGAGGCAAGATCCAAAAAGTGCCTACACGCCTAGGCGCCCGCTTAGGTGTTGCCTTGACAACTATGCTTCAGGCCCATTAGTCTCCTAAGTAGCTTCTATAAGATTCTTTCAAAGGTGTTGGCTGAGAGGATGAAAAAAGTTCTATCGAATGTAATTTCTGAAAATCAGTGTGCTTTTGTCCCTGGTAGACAAATGTTGGATAGTGTCTTGATTGCAAATGAGCTGATTGACTCTAGAAGGAGAGATGGAAAACCTGGTCTAATATGCAAATTGGATATTGAGAAGGCCTATTATCATGTCAACTGGAGATGTCTGGATTTTGTCCTGGCAAAGATGAATTTTGGTCAGAGGTGGAGGAATTGGATAAAGGTATGTGTCACCTCTCCAAAATTCTCTGTCCTCATTAATGGGCAAGTGGTGGGTTTCTTTGAAAGCTCCAAAGGAATTAGATGGGGGGACCCTCTCTCCCCTTTACTTTTCATTTGTCTGATGGAAGTGCTCACTCAATTCAGTAAGCTAGCTGCCTCTGAAGGTTTTTGGGATGGTTTTAAAATCTGTCTGGGGGGGGGGGGGAGTTCACATGCTCCAGTTTGCTGACGACACTCTTTGTTTTATTGATGCTGCTCCTGATCAGTTGGAAGTGATGCTTGAAATTCTATGCTGGTTTAAAGTTGTGACTGGGCTGAAACTGAACGTAGATCTGGGAAAGAGTGTTGTCTTCCCTATCGATCAGGTTGATAACCTGGAATCCTTGGCTGAAGTGTTGGCCTGTCAGGTTAATTATCTCCCAGTAAAATACCTGGGGCTCCCCCTTGGAGCTAAATGTAATTCTGTCTCGATCTGGGAACCTATAATTGAAAGGATGGAAAGGAAGTTGGCTTCTTGGAAGGCCAAATACCTCTTGGCTGGAGGTAGAGTGACACTTTTGAAGAGTATTCTCTCAAATCTCCCCACCTATTTTCTTTCTCCCTATCCCTGCCAAGGTGGCTAAAAAATTGGAAGCTCTTCAGAGGAATTTCCTTTGGAGGGGGTGGGAAGATGAAAAGAAAATTCATCTTGTTAAGTGGGACCAGGTGTGCTTGCCTCTAGAGGAAGGAGGTCTGGGTTTAAGAACATTAAAAACTTTTAGTACTGCCCTCCTGAGTAAATGGTTGTGTAGATTTGGAACTGAGAGGAATGCTTGGTGGAGGAGTCTAATTGCAGCTAAATTTGGGGTGGATATTGGAGGTCTTTGGACCCTCTGCAGAATTGGGGTTGTTCCCTATGGAAAGGAATTCTTAAATCCCTCCCGGTTTTCTCAACTGGGTTAGATTTTAAAATTGGTAGAGGAAACAGACTGAAGTTCTGGAAGGACCAATGGTGCTGCTTTATCAGTGTGTTGCAAATCCAGAAATCTCAGTTACTGATTCCTATGCTATGAGTGGTGGCTCCATCTCCTGGAGTCCTCTATTTAGGAGAAACCTTTTTGACTAGTATCTGGAACCGTTTGTGGAGTTCATGCAAGTTCTACAGAGGCAAAGCATTTCAGTCGATTTGGAGGATGATTGGAGCTGGAAGTGGAGTGCGGATGGTATATTCTCAGTCAAGTCTATGGCCTCAAAGCTTAGTAAGACTGGGGTTGCTGACTTCCCAAGAAAACAGGTGTGGAACTCAATCTGCCGTTCCAAGGCAAACTTTCTTGTGCGGGTTTTGACTCTAAACAAGGGTCTTTCAAGAGTCAACCTGGATAGGAGAGGGCTGCAGATCCCTGATCTTAATTGTGGGTTTTGTGTGGACTAGTAGCACAGACAATTGACCACCTTTTTCTCCACTGCCACTTTTCTATGAAGATTTGGGTTCATTTTCTTAAAGCTGCTGGGGTTGACTGGTCATGCCTAGTTCTGTCAAGAACCTGTTCTACTTCTGGAAGCTGACTGGCCTGAAGAGAAAGGGGAAGCTGATCTGTGGCACCATTCCTATGGCTATTCTTGTGACCATTTGGTCTGAGAGAAACAGTCACATTTTCTGCAACAGAGGAAAAAATATTGATGATTTGATACAGATATCTGTTTGTAAGCTTGTTTCCTGGTTGTCAGTTAGGCCTGAGTTTAAGCATCAAAATGTATTTCAGATGCTTCACTCTCAGTCAGTTTGGAGTCTGTAATGAGTTTTTCCCTCTTTCTCCGGTGAGGTGTACCGGGAAGTTGTTGTACCCTTTTTTTTCTTAATCAATAAATTCTTACCTTACCTTTCAAAAAAAAAAAAAATCACAATGAGGCATGGTTTTAGATTTCTATGTCAACTAAGCAAGGATCTTAGAACTTTTATCCACTGGTTTTCCTTATCAAAGTTGTCTCCAATAGGTCCTAATCCTAGCACAACTCTTCCTAAATTTTGCGTTAAGTACTGTTTACAATAATGCCACCCAAGAAAAGGAAAAAAAAATGAAGAAAATCCATTGGTTTCTATGTCAACTAAGCAAGGATCTTAGAACTTTTATCCACTGGTTTTCCTTATCAAAGTTGTCTCCAATAGGTCCTAATCCTAGCACAACTCTTTCTAAATTTTGCGTTAACTACTGTTATTATTTTCTTGATTTTCCATCTGAGAACTGAGATTAGCTTGCTTATCATCAAACAAGTTGGTTAGCCCTGTTGGTTGCCTTACTTAGTTGGAAGGAATGAGTTACTTGCTACAGATTGAGAAGTTTTTAAGGGTTACATATTGCAGATTAAGATGTTGGGAAGAATCCATTTCTGTAGAATAGGAGGTTTTGGGTGTTGTCATGGAGATAAGTGGCAATGATTGGCTTTTAGAATGCAGCAGCTATTAGCAACTAGGAGGTGATCTAAGTTCCAAGAAAAATGAAGTATTTTTTGGTAGGGGATGCAAAATGATCCAAAGGATATAATAAAACCAATGTTCCAAGGTGGGGGCTTAGAAAGAGGAAATAGCAGGTATAATGTTTTTAGTGGAGGAATACTTGCTCAAACACTATGATCCATATTATTAGTTGGTACATGTCAGTCAAATTACTAAAGAGTCTTTATTGATAGTGTACCCTTTGGTGTCAGAGGTCTCCTTATGGTTAGTGGCATTGATTTTGTGCTTTCTTTCCTTGTGTAATGGTATGTAATTTCTGATTCTTTGGCAGTAACCACTAAGAACCTTGGATTTGCCCTTAATGCAACTTTGGTTGAGAGATGTTTACCCGAGTCTCAATTCATCTAGCCATTCCAAAATATAAGTTATTAGTTTAAGTGCATTTTTTCAAATTATTTACATTAACTACAACTTAATAAGTAAATTCAGAAAGGAAGTGATGGTGTTTGTCATCTCAATCCAGGCATTATATATGTGTCTGTAATACACAGCCTAGTTTGGTGCTTATGTTCCACTCTTCTACTCAAAGATCCAATTTATTTCTTTATTTATTTGTGGAAGAAACTGGATGATTTTTACAAATACGTGCAACTCTTGCAGAGCAGCTCTCCTCGTATTGTAAACTTAGGTGAAAACCCTGGATGCCCTTGTGGAGGGACCCATGTTGCAGATATTTCAGACATCAGGAGCTTGAAGGTACTAATATTAGAGTGCCTTGACTTCTCATCCTTACAATCTCCAAATATTTTCTAACCTTATGCCATCTTTATTTATGTATTAGTAACACCTTAAAAGGTCAAAGAAGACATGGATTGTGTTTTCTCCATCTTTGGATCCAAATAGTATTGTGTGAAATAAAAATTTGTAAAAGCTATGTAAAGAATTCTATAATGTTAATTAGTCTTCATCCTCGTATCTCTAAATATTGTCCTACTTTATGTCATTGTATTTATAGTTTTATATGAACTGTGTGGTAGAATATGTAAGAAAAATACTGCAGTTCATGTTAGCCTTGTAGAGGTACTAAAAATTAATACTAAATGTATTAGAAGAATTGATGGCTTCAGTTCCTGCATCTATGATCCCCACCTCATAGATGACTCTTGTCTACATGGTGTTGTTTCTATGACCTACACAACTAAGGAATCTATCACATTAGTTACCACTTCCATTTTGAGATCCTAAAACCAAATATAATGCCCTCAATATTGACAAATTCGTTGTTTCTTTGCATTGAGATCCATTTTGTCATCTTCTTAACGGTGGAATTAATTGTTAACTGCAGTGATAAACTTTGAGAAGTACATGGCCAAGGCCTTTTTAGTGGTCACACTCACTGGATGAAACATAAGGAAGAATTACATCACATTTCTGTGGTGTTTCCAATCTGCCTGTACTTTAAGTAGATAGTGAATCTTCATGAAGACCAAGGCAGGTGGCTCTGTATATAATACTTGTCTTCCACGTGTGGTTGTGGTGGAAGGATATTGATATGCTATATTTGGATGTCCAGAATCCCAAGTGCCTTGTGAATTCTGATTTGTAATGTACTAGGTTTGTCTTGATTTGCATGGAATTACTCCTCTCCAATTGGGTAAACCCCATGGCAATTTAGATTCTGAGGAATCAACAATACTATGATAGAAAGGAAAGTTAGGAAAATGGTGAAGATGGATCCATGAACCTAAAATATACATCTATGGATTCAAGCCCAAGTGTATCAAGTCTTTGAATGAAAGCACAAGGACCATCCCAACAAATCCAGCTTGAAACAATTCAATCAAGTTCTCCCACTGTAAGACAATGGGCTTATGAAAGTCCATAAACCCAGTTAGTCTGACCCGGACCCAGACCGTGCTGGTCCGGTTCAGCCCAGTTTACAAGATAATCTACCAGGCCTGACTTTAATAAGTGCCTGACAACTGGCCACCTAGGCTGATATTACTTTAATGTCTGTCAAGAGTGTTGGAACAGACCAACAGAAGGCAGTTAGTCAGTTTTACAAGAGGAGGCTACATCAGCTCAACTAACCAGCCACTTGTAATAACTGCCATCCACTTGTAACAACTGCCATCCAATTGGATTGTCAAGACTGTTGGAACAGACCAACAGAAGGCAGTTAGTCAGTTTTACAAGAGGAGGCCACATCAGCTCAACTACCCAGCCACTTGTAACAACTGCCATCCACTTGTAACAGCTGTAACAGTCAAGATTGTAACACTATAAG